CATGATAGCCAGGCTTAGCTAAGTGCATCCCCCTTTGGGAGCTGTCCTTTATCAAAGGAACCTTAAATCAGCCTGCATGAATAGTTTCTCTGTGGCTGCACCACAGAGATGAACAGAGAGATGAGGCCTAATTTGGGAAAGCTCAGAAACACTTAATTCTGCCTTATTAATAAGCCTCGCCGCTACAACAGTAACTTGTAAATCCTCCAGAAATTTTCAGGTATGTGCAGTGACATATTGCTGTCCTTTCCTGGGATTCAGAACGAGGCAATAGAACATCCAGGAAGTGAAGTGGCCCTATTACATACAGCTCCTTTAATCTACACTTTTTTGCAGTTCTCACTCTGTAGGGGGTCCAAGCCCAGTCTCATTTGTTCATTTTTGTTTCAGTGGTTTATGTGTGTTTTATTGTCCATTACAACAGTAACAATAGCAAAATGTAGTTTAAAAGAACACATCAAAATGATGAGTCAAAAGAATTGATGCATATGTTTCCAGATAGTGGAATACAGTACCACTTCCAGATACTGTATATAAATTATATAAATATTATATTTAGATCCTTGAATTAATATTTGTTAATGATGTCCAATTCCCTAGTAACTGGATTTCAAAATGTACTACAACTTTTTTACAGCAATAATGACAGCAACTATTCATAGAAAAGTTTAAAACATTATAGCTTTTTATTAAGTATATCAACTTTTGATAGTTACAACGAGCACTTCAAATTTGTTCCAAAATAATAACAGTAAGTGAACAAGTTAAAGACTTTGATGCAGAAAATGTTTATGAAGAAGGTGATTTTAAAGATGTACAGTAAGATAACAGAGTAAATAAAACAATCATTTCACTAGCATCTAATGCACCACAAGTGCCACCTACAGTATTAATTGTCTTTGACCAGAAAACAACATAGCTACTGTAAGTACCACATCACATCATATTTAATACCTCTAATGCAGCAATGAGTGTTAATACGTGTTCTGAGTAGCTGCAACTGTAAATGGTACATTTTTAAATACTTTTAAAAGACTCATATTGAATACAAATGTTCTTTATAAAATACTGCATACATGTACATGTTAGATTGAAACAAGAATAAACTGTCAGTAAACTCAAAATTATTCACCTAATAAAATAATAAAATTGTTTTTGGAGATGTTCTTTTGAATTTTAATCTTAATAACTGAGACTGTTAACAGAAGTCAGGTAACAAAGTAACCTGTAGATGGTCAGGATAAATACCAGCTACAACTCTCTAACCCCAGTGTTTGGTTCTTGTGTCTCAGTTTCTTCTGCTTTGGAAAACCTGATCCGGATCTGTATGGGTGTGGGAGTGTTCATCTTCTTGTCTGTCATCGTGAGTGATGTGTTCTGGAGAAGAGTGAAGCGGGCTCTGAGGAATGGTAAGATGTGCTAGACCATGGTTACGACATTCATTTTACTGATAGAAGACAAGCTGGGTGATATAATGTTTTGACCGAGTGAGATCAAAGTGAAAAACTGTAGTAAGCACTGTCATTGTGATAACTGCCATGAATTTAAGTAAAACAATTCCAGACTATTTACTATTTTTCATTATAAAAACTTTTTTCACATAGTTCCTTTTAGTTTTATAATTTCTCTAGAATGTCATTTATTAGATTATTTTCAGCAAAAATGTATCTAACAGTTAAGATTGCTCACTGGTAGATCTTAATCAAACTGATTTCAATAATGCATGGCTTTCATAAAGGCTGCATTGTGTGCTAAGTGCTTAAACCTATTTTTGCATGTGACTGACTTTTTTTATTTTAAAGGTGCAACATATGAAGACAGCTTTGATTTAGACAAGTTGAATGTCTCCAGTGCCTCAAACCCACAACAGCAATGGCTGAAATCCTGAAACCCCTCAGCACTCAATGGAATTAAATAATAGTGCATGTTTCACATTTTCCACTAGACAAAAGCTTTATTATTTAGCACTTATATTTAGATTTTAGGTTTGCTCATTACTGTGTAAAGTGTAACTGTAAATTTTACTCATAGGATTTCTATTCTCTGTAACACTGGTTTTACCCACTGAAATCATAACCACTATTAAACTAAATGATAGAGTTAATATTAATGTTAAGTTAATATGAGTTAATATACCCCAGCATCCTGGCCAAAGTTCCCATCAGCCCTTACCAATCATGGCCTCCTAATAATCCCCATCTATGAATTGGCTTCATTACTTCATTCTCCTCCCCACTGATAGCTGGTGTGTGGTGAGCGTTCTGGCGCACTATGGCTGCCGTCTCATCATCCAGGTGAGGCTGCACACTGGTGGTGGAGGGGAGTGCCCATTACCCATAAAGCGCTTTGAATGGAGTGTCCAGAAAAGCACTATATAAGTGTAAGCAATTAAAATTATAATTAATTGTCCCAGGTCAGTGCTGACTGTGGTCAGGTTTGTAGTACTGCTGACTTTAGTTTGTGAGTTTTCTAAGTCACAGGTGATAGTTATTGATGTGTAATACTGTATGTCTTTTAAAAATGGTTTGTGTAGGAAGCTGTCATTTTTTAATGAAATTAAACCATTTCTAATGTTTTAAAGTATCTTTTTTATTTCAAAGCCTATAGCTTCAAAGCTATAGCACACACTTTTATTTGAGCAATCTTTAAACACATAGTTTGTCATTTATATAGCGTGATAAACATCAAAGAAGCCCACATTGTGCTCATTGTAATGGAAATAGAACTATGCCTTGTTGCTTGAGACTGACTCTTAGTGTTGTACTATTTATATAGATGTAGAACATGATTATGATAATAAGGCAGGGTATCAAATGTGTTATACCTTTTAAGTTGCTGCATTTATTACATGATTATTTTCATAGATCATACATTCTGAATTTTCAGTGCCTTTTTTCTTGAGCTCAGTAAGTAGTAAACAATACTGTAACAAGGTGTACATACTACTACGTTTTGCACAAGCAAAAATTATGATCATTTGTCCTAAATTGATATTTAACACATATTTATGAACCTTACAAAACTTATTTGCTGTAATTTGTGGCTTCAAAGAAATCTAGTTATTAAGTATAAAAAAGAAAACATAAAGCTACAGACATCAAAGTCAGCCTGAGCACACAAATTACTTCTCAAAATCAATTTATAGGCATTTCATGAATAAGAAAAATCTTGAGAAATGCAATGTTAGCACAGTTGAATGATATGTACAGCTTACTTTATACATAAAGTACCTTTTAAAAGTTTGCAGGTCCTTACACAGGATTTTGTTGCTTTAAAGCTTGATTTCATGACACTATGAAAGAGCAATTCATATTTGTTATACATACAATGTACTTCAAAAAGAATTAAACAGATAATATGAAAGACAAATTGAAAAGTCGTGATTGCATAAGTATTCAAACCCTTTTTTTGGCAAAACCAAGTTACCTTAGTTGCAAAATTATAAAAAGCAACACAATAAGAGTGGTCTAACACCATATAGAGTGGTATCTGCCTGTGCCTGTGTACACCTATAGTAACTTTAGTCAGGTTGGATCAGTTCCAACAGCTGAGGATTTAGCACAGAACTGTGTACTAAATTGTATACCAGCTATTATATTACTATCTAAGTATCATCCCCAACTACATGCTCAAATTGTAACAAAAAACCTGGGAAACAAAGCTGTAGATTACATTATCCTGTTCTTTGTATGATATTAAAGCCTAAGCATCATTGTTGTTCTGCCAGTGTCACGAACATGGACTGAAATCCGTGTCAGATCAGATAGAAGAACCTATGCGATGCGGTAAGAGCTGGAGAAAACAGGAGGCGTGGTAAAAGGGAACACACAGGGGTTTAATAGTGCACAAAATAATAGTGACAATTCGTGAGAGTGAACGGGGAAGACAAAACGGCATCCCAATCCAAACGAGTCCAAGGGCAGGTCAAAGCACAGTCCGAGAGTTCATCAACAAGGAATCCATCCTGGGACGCGACAAAGTTAAAATAACTGGGAAGGGGGAGCACACGGACAAACAAAACATGGAGGTCCAAGGGTGACAGGGCGAGATCCTCCAAACCCCGGGCTCAGGATGCGAGATGAGGCCTATGCCCTCAGGAGACGGACGTAGGGTTTGCTGGTGCTAGGCGGGCCTCGCGACATCTTACCCTAATGATGAGCCCCGAGGACTGGAGGAGCTAGTCTTTAAATAATAACGCTAAAAGGGTACACCTGGGGAGCTTTATCACAAGGACAATAATGGGACCAGTGGAGCGCCCTCTAGGGAGGGATGTCAGGTGTGACAGCCAGGTGCCGATTCAGAATTTTTGAATTATTCATAACAGAAAAATAATATGTGGGATAACATTAATATATTTAATTATTACTATAGCTGAATGCCTGTGATAATTTAATGTTAGTTTTTTTTAATAAATGTATGTTTGCTATATTACATAAATTTATAACTGAATTCTTTCAATTTTAAATGTAATGTGGTGTGACTTTGGAATTTGAATTGGAATGTGTTAATAATTCAATAAGAAATGTTACTGAGACATACAGAAACACTCTAGATATGATAAAGCACACATAGGTCATTTGTTTTTGTAGACTACATTTTTGTGTCCAAAATAATATAAACTTTAACCTCATGGCAACCTCAATGGCAGGAGAGTGAAAAAGACCCTATACATAGCAGCAAGATGGGGGTTACTCAGGGCTCAGCTGTTCAGGAAATGCCGTATAGAAACCAATGCCCTCAGGCCATGGACAGGAGCGACCTGGTGCTAGGCGGGTCTCAGGACATCTGAACCTCAATGCTGAGCGAGTAGCAGAGCAGAAGCAGGAAATAAACAGGCTACACAACAAAACAGACCAGAAAGACATGAATAATCACAGGGAACTAGGAACAGGAGAGAAGTAGAGCGCCCTCTAGGTGTACTCGGCGTGACACTTATGACATAAAAGCAAGAAATTGCGTCGAGAAAGACTAATTTGGTCTGACTGCTGGTCCTGTAGTTTCACTATGTCATTGCAGTTCTCTCCAACCTTGCTGTGGACTGCGATTATCCAACTTTTTCATCTTCAAGACATTCAACATATCAGCTGTTTCAACACCCTTATTATTGGACCACAATCACAGGAGGGACTAGATAGTATTCTCATACTGTTGTAGGCATCCTCTCATGAGGCACCAGTTAATGTAGGGGTTTTGTGCTTAACTCTCCCAGCAGGTCAGGAAGAAGACCGGTTCATTCCTGATATAGCGCTAGTCCTGAATATTGATATTCAGCTGTCCACAGTTCCGACTGTAGTGCACTTGTTGATCAGGTGAGTGTTCACGGTGGGTTCACGAAGCTTGCTGCTTGGCTTACCTCAGGTGGATCCTTTGGTTACACGCTGGCAACCTCTGTTCTTGACTCTTAGAACAAAGGAAAGTCCTGGCACTCGGACACACTGGCCGTTACATGATGGTCTGAGCTGAGGCTGAGAATTTCCAGGAGGGGCTGAGTCTGAGAATGTCCAGGAGGCGCCCTGAGTCAAGAATGTCCAGGAGGCGCTCTGAGGGACTCTGTGCTGCCTGTTTTACCTGAACTACAGTTGTTCATTGGTTGAAAGTTTCATGGGCATTCAAGACCCACATGGGGTTAACCTGCCCTACCAGTTCCTGATTGGCTGATGATGAGTAGCAATGCACTCCAACCTTAGAGTTGTAAACAAACTTGGAATAAGACTTTCCCTTGGAATCTCCCTGACTTTAAGGCGCCAGAGATGACCATTTGTTAGGGTGGTTGATGTGTCTCAGCTTTGGGAGTTGTTCCTTATCAGGACACTCTATCAGCTAGAAAAACACCTTAATTGTGAACCAAATGGAATGGCCTCTCTGTATCCAGCACCACTGAGATGAAGGAGAGAGGGACTGGCAAGGGAGGAGCAAACTTAATTCCTGTACTTTAATAAACCTTGCCGCTACACTGTCATAAATTTCTTCTTAGAAGACTTCTTAGAAGACTCCAATAAGAATGTGTTATTTAATTTACCCTTACATTTTCAGTAACTACATCACATAATATATTTTATCTGCTGATGTATAGTAACATCACAATAAATAACAGACCAAACAGACTCAAGAAACACTTAGATGTGAGGAAACTGGGATATATTTGTCTTAATTTCACTTTGCTGCCCTCATAGAATAGTATCTCAATATACAGTATATGTCAATACTTAATATCACCTACTATGAGATCCACACACATTACTACAGTAGGTGTAATACTGATGATATCTTCCTTTGTGATTGGAACATGAGACAAGTGCCTATAGAAAGTTGGATCCCCTTTCCAGGTAATACATGTTTTGGCCTAACAGCCTGAAATCAAGACACATTAAATCAGAATGTATTTACATATTGCAACACAACCTCCGAGTAAAAACCAAAGGCTCCAACATTTTAAAAAAAGTAAATAAAAATTAAAACCTAGAAAAAATGGTTGGATAAGTGTACACACTCCTGAGTTAGTACCTGATGAACAAACCTTTTGTATGATTTACAGTCAGAATTCTGTTTGAATCGATCTATAGGAACAATTCATTGGAATGAGGTCAGGGCTCTGCCTGGGGTACTCAAACACATTTAACCTTTTGTTCATTAACAAGTCCAGTGCTGCTTTGACTGTGTGCTCAGACCTATTTTGAAAGTTGAAAGATAAAATTCCTTCTCAATTTCAGCTTCTTTGCAGAGGCAGCAGCAGGTTTTCTTTGAGAATCTGTCTTGTATTTTCCTCCATCCAGTTGCCCTTCAATCCTGAACAGTGCCCCAGTTCCTGCTACAGAGAAACACCCCATAACAGAATACTACCTCCACCATGCTGCATTGTTATGTTTTGCATTCAGGATTAAACATTCTTTCAACAGACCACAAAACTATTTTCCACAGTTTTTTTATATACCGCAAACAAGACTGCATGTTTTTTTGTAGTGGCTTTCTTCTTGCCAACCTTTCATATAGCTCAAACCTATGGTGAATTGTACACACTGACCAGTCTTTTACATACTGTAAAGTGGTTGTAAGTC